AATATTGTCATGACAACGGAGTTTAGCAGTTTACTGCTCATTATTGCTTATTATTCAGCTGAACTTCTAAGACCGGATCGGGGCGTGCCTGTCTATTGGTTGACCCTAGATTATCTTTAAGAGCATAATAATTTGCACAGTGATTTATAACGATACCATAATGATTTCTATTATGTATGTACCTTTTTTTTTAAATAGCCATGGAACACCCTGCAAGCATTAAAAAGGTAATGGCCACAAATCTTGTAAATAAAACATAACTTCTCCACAAATGAGTAAAAAAAGAGTAGTAGCTACGTAATTGCTAGATAATTAATATAACTTAATTATTATGGTTTCTCAGGGAAACACATGGCTTGGAAGCATAGCATATGTGAATATTGCCATAGAAGATGGAAAAATGCACCTGAAACTCACCTTCTATTTGCCTTCACTTTCAGTCTGCACTAGGCACTTGTCTTTCTGAATAAAGATGTAGGCTTTACTTAGGAACTTACACATTGAACCTTGATTTATTAATAAAGGACCCTATTAAATAGTGTTTACTACTCCTCCAAGACCAAGTGTATTGAATCTGAATTAAATTCAGATTTTTTAATTCAATTCAGTTTCTTGCTATGTGACTGGTTAGTAACATGTACCATGACCATGAAGCCTACGTGTTTTCTTATTTGTAGTATATATGATTTGAGAGCAGATTGGTGGCATTTGCCAGTTCTTTGAAACTTTTCCTTTTTCTAGATGGAATCTTTTAGGTCTTCCATAGTTATTATATATAGCAGCCACTCTTTATCAAGTCTTTTATTTCTTCCACTTACTGTGATGAATAGGCAGTACTTTCTTAGCTACCTGAAAAATACGGATGAGATTGCTCGCTTTTGGGCTGTTACTAGTATCTGGCCCATGTAACTTTTTGATTGTTCAAGCCATAGCTTAAAAAATGGATTGTTGCCTACACCTACTTCTGTGAAGAGCTGGCTGCCTAACAGTTTTCAGCAATGTTTAAGAAAAAGCATCCTAGAGGAGCATCAAGCAATCCTAGAGGATGTTCATCAATCTTATGCTGTGCTTATCAGATGATATACATTAATGACAGTATCAGAAAGAGCAAAAAATATTAGCAAATGAAGTAATGTGTGCCACAACATGATCTAAAAATGCTTTGGAAAAAATTAAAATATCAGTGGGAATGAGATGTTATTGGCAGCCAGATATTCCAATTTCCCTATCATTTTGTCAATAGGAGGTTCAGACAGAGGAATTGAATTTTTCCTCAGGCTGTGCATACTTTTTTGATTAGTACGGGTTTGTGTACACAGCAAAGCAGAGAAAAAGATATATCAAACACTTCTGTTAAAAGGAACCAGAGGGAGGAATTGTCCTGCCCTGAAAATACAGTTGTCCTGTTAATGGAAATAGAGATTTTGTGTTGGAGGAGAAGCACTAGCTGGAACGGTATTAGGAGAGTTGTTCCTTTACTCTCAGAACAAGGAAAACAGTAAAGTTCGAAATTTGGAAGAACTTTGTGAAATGACTGATAAATTGTACAACAGTTGTACTTCTCTCACACTTATTCCATAGAATCGGTGAAAACAGGCAATGCAGTTTTTACACCTCAGTATTTTCTTTGAAGCAGTCTGTGGAGTGCTGTAAGATGCTGTCTTTCTGTGTGGAAGCCAGAACACAGTAGCTTTACTCTGAATGCATCTGTATTTAAGAGTCTAAGTGGCATATCCCTTACTTGTGTGGTTTTGTTTATTTTTTGGTATCCCAATGCTACTACAGACAGTTCTGTCAGATACTGTGACATGAAATAATGGTCTGTTTTCTGCAAGTAAACTAAGTCAGCCAAACTGAAAGTATTTTATTATTCTTGAACTGTATTTCAAGCAGTGGCCAAAGGCCTGAATCAATAGCAACCTACAGATTACTTAATAAGAACAAATGGTGTCTCAGTTGAAATTGTTCTGCTTCTGTCATCCATGGAAAAAGGAGTTTGTTTGTGCAAACAAAACAATGCAGCTCAGAGCTCACTTCTTGTAAACTAGGCATTATACACCATAGCACTAATTATGTTTTAAAGGTGGATTTTAGACTCTACATTTCTGTTTGTTGAATGTTCTGTATTTAATAGCAACTGAGGGCATAAAAATTGAGGTATTTGTATTTAACACAGTGACTAAATCATATGCATTAGAACTGCCAAAGGTTTTTTTTAGAGCACCAAAAATCATTAGCGTTGTGTCCTGTAGTGGTGTCTGGTAAATATCCTCCACATAAACAATACTGTTCAGCAACTTCAGTTGAATCATTCTACATATTTGACGTCAGTAGTCTGTAAAGCACAAAAGGGGTTGTATAAATTGTTTAGGACACAAACAAAAAGGACCTAACAGAACATAATATAAAGAGAAGTATGAGAATTGTTCTCTGGATGTGTTTATATAACACAAAAGGTTTACTTCTAAGAGCAGGATGTGGGCACAGAGTTGATCAAAGCTTTGTTGGAGATAAGGCCACAGGGTCAGACACACTTACCTGGACTTTAGAGGACTTCTTGTCATATTACTGACAGTGCCAGTTGTCTTTTAGGAACTTCTTGAATTATGAAGAGAAAGATAAATTGAGTATGTTTCAGAATAACCAAATTTTTTCACTGATAACCAGAGGAGTGGGTCTAGTGAGCATCAAGGATGGGAGGGGACTGTAAGAGAGGGAGACGATAGTAGCAGTAAGCAGGCTGGACCCCCTAGCAACTCCTAACTTGTTTAGGTCACTCAGTCTCTGGCCCCTTCCTTATTCCAGCATCATTCCTTGCTTCCTACACAGCTCCTTTCCACCGCCGTCATTCCGATTTCCCTCATTCCAGATGGCAGCTCAGTATCTGTGCTCCCTCCCAGCACCGTTCCCTGCAGCCCCACCCCTCCAGTATAACCTTGAGCATTGCCTCCCTGAACTTCAGCTACCCACAGCCATCCAGGGTTGTGTCCCCAGAGCTGGAATCCAGCCCCTGTCCCTCACTCTTCGTCCTTCCTATGTCAGTTTGAGTCCCAGTGTCATTGCAAAAGCCATTCGGGGTGACAGAGGAAACAAAAATCTGGTGGAGGGATGGAAGGTTGTAGTAGGACTCCACCATGGAGAAAGAAAAAATAGCAGGGAGGGAAGGATAAGAAAGCAGCCCCAGTGAGGTCTCACTCAAAAAAAATACTTAATCCCTGGGCTAATGAAAAGATCTTTGGATCAACATTTTGAATGTGCACAATAGAGATTTTCTTTGTTAAAACTAAGAGGATATTGTAGGAACTGACATCTAGAGTAAGGGAGCTGAGGCAAGCATTTAAGTTCTGTGGATGGATATGGCTGCATTGTTGTTAAGTAGTGGTTGTTGGAGAAATTAAGATGTAGTTCAGGGAAGCGGTGGTTAAATCAAAATTAAAAACAGGCTGCAATTGTAGAAATTAAAATTTAGTTGAGGGAAGCAGTAGTTGAAAGAAAAAACAGAAGCTGCAAAAATAGCATAAAGACAATTATGCAAACAAAAGCCAAAACCTAGGGAAAATAATTGTAATTAACAAATACAAGTGCCAGCTATCGGCAGCTTCCCCCCACCCTATTTTTAAGTTGCACTCCTTCCACAGTTTCTTTGTGATTCCCAGGCACACTTTAGGACATTTTGATACTCTTGAGGAGATACATTTAGAGAGCTTCTCTAACATACCTAGTCAGAAATAGTAACAATTGTGTGGTAGAACAGTTTCTGCCTAATCCAGTAGTTAGTATTTAGAGGGCGTTTTTTGGTTTGGGGGGTTTTTTTAAGTAGCCGGGAAAAAAAAGCTTATAGCATTGCTAAAACTTTCTGGAAGAAGAACTGACAGTTTTCCAATTAAGTCTCATCTTGTGTTTTTCTTTACTTCACATCTTTTAATGACAGTGTCATGTAATATGATGATTTTATAAGCGGTTTTGCTAACTCATTCAGCAGAGTAATCAATAGAAAAAAATAAGCCAGATGGGTTGTAGTCCATTTGTATTGGGTGGGACAGATGGCATTATTGATAGATGGACATATTCCAAATAATTATTGTATAATGATATAACAGTGACTGTGCCTGCAAAATTTTATTAATTTACTTTGTGTATGCACTTTATTCAGTAGGGGTTGAGTTGTACCATTTAGACAGTACTCCCACTATATTTAGTTGGGAGTTGAGTCCATCCCCTGCCTTCTTTTTTCCCTCCCCATGGGCTTTCCATGGAGAACAATCCCTGTAGTACTTTGTTAGAGAATTTCAGGTGGTAGATTGTACTTTTGTCTGTACAACAGACTCCACTAGACTAACTGAGATGGGCAAGATCATGATTAGATTTTTTTTTTTTTTGCACCTCTCAATGCCTGCTTTTTGCTTTCTTTTGTTATCCTCATTGATGCAAAGAAGAAACACGCTGTACTGTCTCAAGATTTCAGGCATTCCAGCTTGTTTAACTGCTGTGCTTTATTCTTTTTACATCTTGCTAATCCCCAGCAAGATTTGGTATAGCTAGGCCAGTAAAATATATCAATTTTGATAAAG